CAATATAATTTTAAAAATATTAATTTTTTTTTTTTTTTTTTTAGGAAGTAACGAGAAAACATTAGCAGCAGCACAACTTTACCGAAGAGCTGGCAAATATTTGGAAGCTGCTCGTATTATTTTTGATGTATGTTATTATTTTACTTTGTATAATCTTTTTATTATTTCAGATTACTTAAATAATAATTCAAAAAAAAAAACTTGCAGATAATATTTTGTATGAAATAATGAAAATAAACAAACAAACAAACTATATTACACATTTTATCAGTTGTTGAAATATATCAAATTTTTTTTTGAAAAATTCACAATTTAGTAATGAATTATCAGAATTAACAAACAAAAATATATCAGAATTAAAAAAAAAAAAAAAATATATCAAAATTTTTTTTGTTGAAAAACGTAATTTTATTTTTTTTTTTTTTGTCAAAATTATTTAGATAAAATGTTTTGAATATATATTTCTTTCTTAAAAGAATGGAAATTTTTTTTTTTTTAAAAAGCGATTTTATAATTTCAGATTGCAAATAACGAACGTTTAAAACAAGCTGAAGCATTACGTTTAAAAAAACTTTACGTAATGGGCGCTCTTCTTATTGAACAGTATCACGAACAAAATAAATCAGAAATTGCTAAGGAATCAGCAAATAAATCTGATGTTAGACTTTATGTTTTCTTTTACGAGATAATCTGATAAAGTAAATATCATATAAAAAGCCTTCAGATAATTTTCTCTCTCTCTCTCTCTTTCCCTGCTCCCTTCCTCCCTATCAGTCAAAAATGACGTGTAACTAACCATCCTCTCTCCTTATCAGTCAAAAATAACATGTAATCTTCCTCTCTCCTTATCAGTCAAAAATGACGTGTAACCAACCATGCTCTCTCCTTATCAGTCAAAAATGACGTGTAATCATTTACTTTCCTCATTAGTCAACGAATAGTTTGCAATGTCAAAATTTGCATGAAACGTAGTCTTTGATCTTTTTAACATATAATTAATTATTTATCTATGCCATACTTCAATTTAATCATCAAAAAAAGATTGTAAAATTTAGAAAATTGATTTCAAAAAAAAATGCATTCCTGATAAGAATGAATTTCATTTCAGGCAGAAATAGCTCTCAGAGGATTACTAGAAGTGGACAGTAAAATTTCGCTTGCTGATAGTACTATCATTGATAATGCATGGCGTGGTGCTGAGGCATATCATTTTTACATGCTTGCACATCGTCAACTCTATAATGGTCCTTTAAAATTTTTAAAATTTCATAAATTTACATGGAAAAAAATTATTTGTTTGTTTATTTATTTATTGCTGTGTGTTAAAATAGTATAAATAATTATTTGCTAAATATATTATTGTAATAAAAGTGAATAATAAATAATACATAACAATTAAAAGAATATTATTAACATTTAAATTTAATAAAATAAATTGTTTGTTAGAAAAATGTTTCATTTATTTTACAAACTCTCTCGAATTCATACTGTTTACATCGATTGACATACAATGTTTCATTTAAAATTTCAATTTAAATTAATAATTTAAATTATTTAAAGTTCAATTTTCATTATTAAATTTGACATTTATTTTTGATTATTTTAGATATGTTGTTATTTTTTTTCCATTTTTTGAAAATTTCATAAATTTGACTCAAATTAAATTTTATAAAAAATTTGATTTAAATTTGAATTACGAAAAACTTACAGGTGATATAAATAATGCAATGATGACAGCATTACATTTAACAGATTATGAAGATCTTATCGATCCAGCTGAAATTTATTCACTTCTTGGTTGGTGTTATATTTCAAATTTATTTTTTTTATTCGAATATAGGAATAGTAAAAATTAATTTATTACTTTTTAAAAAATAGGAATAATTCAAATTTTGGATGAATGAAATGCATTACAATATAATGTATCATCGAATTTATTAACTTAATTTTTTAATTCAATCAATGTATGTTTGTTTATTTGTTTGTTTGTTTATTTTGTTTTTCATTTTTTTTTTTTTTAAACAAATTTTTTAATTAAATTATTTTTTTTTTAGCATTATCAAGTTGTGCTACACGACAGTTTGCTGTTTGCAGTCGTGCATTTATTAAATTAGAAAATTTGGAAACATTTTCTGCAGATGAAAAGGAAAGTTATAAAAAACTTGCAATGAAAATTTTTACTAAGTAAGTTTATTTTGTTTTCTTTTTTTTTTTAAATCACAAAAATGAATTTAATGGAAAAAGTAATTAGTGTAATTAATTAATTAATTAATTAAACGATAATTATTTCTTAGATATTCACCAAAAGATACACAAATGAATAAAGTGGAATGTACGAGTTGTTATGCACAAATTCAAGATTATTGTCACATATGTCCATCTTGTGACATCAAATTTCCCACATGCATTGTCACTGGTCGATCAATGCTTGTGCAGCAATTTTGGCTTTGTCCAACTTGTAAACATCATGCATTTGAGGAGGAAATGAATTGTTTACAATTTTGTCCATTATGTCATGCAAAATTATAATTGTAATTAATGCATAAATATTTTTAAAATTAATTAAAATTATAAATATTGTTGAAATTAAGTTTCGTTCAATCATTTCCAATACATTTTAAAAGTTATTATAGCTATTAAATAAATACAAATTGAATATTGAAATATTATTATTAGCAAAATATTTTGTTTGAAAAAATTAGAAAATTAATTTGATTTCTGTCCTTCCCCCTCCCCCCACAAATGATCAATTTTTTAGAATTAAAAAAAAAAAATTTTTTTTTTTATAATTATCAAATAAATTTAAAAAAAAAAAAGGACAGCAAAAAAATATTGCATATTAAATGAAAGAATTTCATTTTTATTTATTTATTTGATGTATTTAAAAGAGAGAGAGATGATGTTAAAAAAGAAAAATAAATTTCTTAAAATTGATTAAATTTATTAGAAAAATTTAAAAGAAATAAATTTCTTTAAATCATATCAAAATTAACTTTTTTTTTTAAAAAAAAAGCAATAAATTTGTTAGAATTAATTAAATTTTGTTTAAATATTTTATTTGAATTATGACAGTTAATGGAAAAATGTATAAAAAATTCTTTGTTTGTATAAATATTTATGTTTTTTACCATTATTATTTGCTCAACAGATTGGATAAAAATGAAAGAAATTTTTTGATAGCATATAAACTTATCAAAAAAAAAAAAAAAATTCATTTTTTGAAAAAAAAATTTTGAAAAAAAAAATTCAAAAATTAAAACTCATTATAGCATATATAAAATATAACATATTTGTTGTAATTGTAATTAAGTTCTTCCAATTGTTAAGTTTTGAATAAATTTTGGCTTAAAATTTTTATTAATCGTTATGACATATGAAATGTAACTTTTGCCAATTAAATTTCTCAAACTATTAAGTATAAATTTTGATTTGAAATTGTTGACGAAATGTATGTTCCATCAACAATTTAAATTAATGAAATTTAAATTGTTCGAATTGTTATCAAAATTTTCATTTCACATTTCCTTAAATATTTATTGTTACTATTTCGTATATGAATGAAATGAATGATAATTATATTTTATTGCAGAATGAATAAAACAGCGTTGAGTTGATTAAATGAAAAATGGAATTATCAGTGAATGATTAAATTGATATGAATAAAAATAAATAAAATAAACCTAAATTAATTAATAATTTTGGTGAAAATCTTGGAAACTAATATAAATAGAAAAAAAAATGAGAAATAATAGAAAATAAAAAGTATTCGGAAAAAAAAGATCAAAAATTTTGTTTTTTTTTTGATGAAATTAACAGGAAAATTGTTAAAATTATATTTAGTCTTATAATAAATACTAAAATTATATTTAGTCTTATAATAAATATTTCGATTAAAAAAATTTTCAAAACAAAAAAAAGTAAAAATTTAATTATATTTATTACAATATTATATTTTAAGCAAAATATAGTAGGCTTAGTCTGTTTTACTAATGATATTATCTTATCAGTTGTTGAAAAATCAAGAAATAAAACTTTTTTTTTTTTTATTTAAACTATCTGTGTTTAAATAACCTAAGTAAAGTGAAGTTATTATTATTGTTCACTTTTATTATTTATTAACCATTATTATTATTATAATTATTATTTTTGTTATTATTATTATTATCGTTATTATTATAATTATCATAATTGCCATTGTTATTATCGTTACTATTATAGCATTATTATTATTATTATTATCACTATTATTGATATAATATTATTATAATTTTTATTACTATTACTATTATCATTACACTTTCTTTATCATGATTGCTTAGCAATATAACGTTTAATAATTATTTGCTCTAATAGATTAATTCAAGATATTTCAATAATTTAATTTTTTCAAAGCATAAAAGAAGTAGAGATAGAGTTTGCTGTATTTAAAAAAATATTTTAAAATAATTGTAATAATTAAGAAATAAAAATAAGAGATAAAAATGAATGAATAATTTTATGGATTGGATTATTTTTGCATATAACATTTTGAGATGAATATTTTTATTAGTTACTGGTTATTATAATGATTAACTAATAAAGAAGATTTTACATTCCCCGAAGCAATGATATTTGAAAAACCCGCTCCTCGTTATTATTATCGTATATTAACCTATTTCTTTACCTAGAGGGGATTTTGTATAAAAATTTTACCGGTCTTTAAATATTACTTATTTTATCTATAATGCAAAGTTAGTTACGCCAGCTTCTTTATTCAAAAAGGAATGAATGCTCAAATTGTTCCAGTTTAATCAAATTTATTATTATAATAAAATAGTTGCATTTATCATAATTTCATATACATTAAAATTTTGAATTTATTTTTTTCTTTCATTTTATTTACGTTTTTTTCTCATTCATTTTCAAATTATGAATGAGAAATTTTCTTTTTTTGTTAATAATTGATTAATGATGGAATATTTTTTTGAATGATAATAATGAATATTGGTGGATTTATTAGAATGAATGATTTTTGGCATCTGTTATATCTATGGGCAATTTTTCATTTTTCCAAATCACAAATTTCCCGTAAGTTATTCAAGTAATTATTCATTGTAATTATTACTCTTTTTCTTTTTTTTTTTTTTAATAAATAATCGATGAATGAAATTGTTTGTATACTATTTGATTTTCTATTAAAAATTTAAATAATTCGAATTTGAATTTTATACTATTGTATGGTTTTATTTAGTTCTCACTACAATTCCACGTAAAAAATCTTTACGTTAAAAAGAGAAAGTATTTTAAAATTATTTTAGTAATGATATTTGAAATTATACAATATTTTGCAGATAGCAAATATTGGGAGAAATTTGAATCACGTGATGACCTGAAACCTGAAATAGGTCCAAAAGGTAAGTTATCAATCATAAAGTAAAAAAAAAAAAAAAAAAAAAACTAATCCTATAAATAATGATTATACTTATGTCAATATATTATTACTATTACTAAAATGCAAATTTAATAGGATTTTAACCATTTATAAAAAAATGATATAAAAAGTTTTTTTTTTTTCTTTTTCAGATGGAACAAATATAAAATTTGGAAGAGATCAAATAGGAAGAAATATTGCTTCAAAATGGATAGGTCTTAATGGAAAACTTAGCACTAGTCGTACGTTAACTCATCCGGAAGTAGCTGAATTTATTAAAAAAGGAAGTAAAAGAATAGTTACGGACGAACCGGAAACAGAAACGAATGCTGAAAATAGAAATGCTGATGATTTCAAATTAGCTCATCAACTCTCGAATTCCAGTTCTGAATCTGATTTAAATTCTCAATCTAAAATAAAATTTCCGCTATCTGAAACAAACTATCAAAAAAATTCCAACAAATTAGCAAAAAGACCAATTCCACTTTATATTGCTACTCATTATTTTAGATTATCTAAAGAAATTGAAAAATATTTGCAAGAAAATTTTAACAGAGAATTAAGCAATCCAAAAAAGGAGAGATCAATTTCATACGAATCAAATGATGAAGAAGATCAAGAGTATCAGTCATCTGATCGGACATTATCAGATTCAAAATTTAATCAACCTAATGTACCAACAACAATAAACTATAATGCTAGCTTACAAGCAGTACCACCAACCAATTATCAATCTCAATTAGCAGAATCAGTTGAAAAAAATATTGAAACAGAACAGAATTATTCATCATCATCATTCCTATTAAATGCTACTAACAAAAGGAATTTAAATTATGAATTTCAATCACAAAATAGTCCATTAGCAATTGCTGAAGATGGAGAAAAGCAGAAAGGAATATTAGATACAAGTATTCTTCCAAAGGTAAAAATTGTGAAAAATAAATTTTTATAATCAAATGTAAATTTGAAAATAACTCTCATAAAATAGATAGCATAAAATGATGTAACAAAGAATTAGTTATATTTTCTAAGCAATTCTTATGAATGTAAATATGAGAGTGAAATTTGATTAAAAGATAATTTTAAAAAAGTGAAACTTTCAGCCAGGTAATTGTCCACCACTTAATCCATTATTGCATTCATTACCGCATAATGATACTGATAAGAGTTGTGGACAAACGTTGACAGGTTCATCAGTAGATCCTAACTGTGCTTGCATGTATTTTGTAGCTGAACGTAATGAGGAAGGATGTGCAGCAAAATTTTATATACTATGTTATCGACCGAGCGATCAGGTTTGCTTATCAATTATCTTATCAATTACATCAAATGCAATAATTATCACTAGTATAGTTTTTTTTTTAGGACAGCTTTTACAAATTTATTAAATTGTTCATTTTAAGAATGTTTTTATTTTATGATTATGCGATAATTTTATAATGTAACATTGATAATGAATGCATTTTTTATATGAGTAAAAACAGAATGAGATATATTAAAAGAGAAAATCATAAATTGTATTGATTAGGTTGATTATTGATTAATAGATATTCATTAATAGATTATTGATTAATAGATTATTCAAGAGATTTTTTTTGTATTCCGATCAAACAGATCAGCTTCATAAGTAAGTCTTAGACAAAACTTCCATTTGTAGTGAGTATATGACAAAGTATCTTTTAGTTTTCTTTTTTTTTACAGTTTTTAAAAAATTGTATTAAATGCATTTTGATATTTTATAAAATTTACATTTCAACTATAAATGAAATAATTATATGAAAATTCTGTGGAAGATTATTTGAGGATTAATCATGATTAGTTTGATTTTTTTTTGAATAATTGAAGTACTATTTAATGCTAATTTCATTTTGATTCTTCCTTAATTTTTATGCAAATTCATTATTTCAGCATCCTGAACAAATAATCGAAGAATCTTTCGCTCCACAAGTACCCAACACACATTCCGAGCAGTACGCCGAAACACACTCCGGTGAACAACAGGTGGACAATTATAATCAACAATCAGTAAATTACAATGAACAAAAGCTAAGGCGGCGATCGGAAACAATCAATCAAACATTTCCATTAGACAAAGAAGCTGAATTAAAGAAAGATGAAGCGCAAACAACAACGATAAATTCAACAACTAAAAGTGCAACAATTAAGCATCAATGAAACAATGAAACATCGAAATTACTCGAGAAAATTTAGGATATTTTCCTGTTCAGATGTTAAGTAAGTTTTAAATCTAATAAAAGAAAAAAATGTTAAAATGATAGTCTTTACACATCGTAATGATACATTTATTTGTTAAATGGATATCATTCTAAAAGAATGATATATGAGAAAAAAATTAAAAAAATATGCACAATGTAGATGAGAAACCTTCGTTCTCGATGATTTTTTATGATATCAATCATTCCCATAGCCTTTATTTAATTATTCTCGACTTTGAGTAATATTTTTGGAAGATAACTGTAATGCAAAATTAACCCCAACCATTTATTTCATCAGCTTATCGCTAAAAATCATCTATCCAAACTGGAAAAAGAATATGCATGTATCGAATATGTAGGCTAGATGCGCATTTGTCACCATTACCTGCAGATTATCTACAGGAAATCATTTGTAGGATTGATGCGCATTTATCATTATTGCTTGCAGATCATCTATATAGAAGATCGTTTGTAGGACAAATGCGCAAATCATTTGTAGGATTGATGCGCATTTATCATTATTGCTTGCAGATCATCTATATAGAAAATCGTTTGTAGGACAAATGCGCATTATCATTATTGCTTGCATGAAATTTGATAAAAAAAAAAATGAATGTTTTTGACAGTACTAAATTCCTTTCATATTTACAATGAATATTTAAGGAATGATATAATGGATTTTGTCTTTTAAAAGGATTTGATATTATTCTGCAACAAGCATATATATATATATCTACATGGAACCACTCTTTCTTTTCTTTCTTAAATAAAAATATTTGCAAGAAAAAAAAAAACCAAAACCGAAATATTAAACGGAGAGATAAAGGCAATGATAATAATAATAAACAATAAAAACGAACAGAAATGAATGATCAGTTCTCTGAGACATCTGCAATTAGATTCCAATTCTTCAACACTACGAAAATTTAAAGTCAACCCAAGGAGAAATTTCAAAAGAATGGGAAAAAGATCTGTAATTTTTAAAATAGACTAGACAAAGAATAAACAAGAAATCCTTTCCGCTAAATTCAATGATCGATGAAAACAGTACAAAAATTTAAGTATCATTATCGATTGGAGAAAAATTGCTGAAGATATTGGAAATCTTAACCTTAGAATGATTCCTGTTGTATTATAAAACACCTGAATTCTCCATCTGTTTCTTCTGACAGATATGCGCAAAAAGATTCGTAAAGCGAAATCGATTCAGCGAAAGAAATCTACAGTTAAGTTGAAATATTAATTCAAAACTATAAATAGGGTTCTCATAAAAAAACTAACGGAATGAATTTCGGTTTAAAAAAAAAAAGGAATGATACAATCCAGACCCCCCCTCAAAAAAAAAAAATCTTAGTCAAATATTCTCAATAACATACAGTGGGAAAAAAATGACAGATAAAAATGAGTTAACTGATCAACAAAAAGATAAATATTGTGATAATGTGGAATTTAAAATCATAAAAAAAAAACACAAGATGTGTCTTTTACTTTGTCGAAATTATCAAGTCTAACGAAATCGGATCAATCAAATCAAGTAACCAATGATCTGATACCATCAAATGTCAAAAAAAAAAAAAAATCCGATTCCGATATAAGTAAGCCTTACCATTAATTTAAAATACATAAAAAGAACAAAACTGAAGAAATGAAACAATAATCCTTTCATTCACAATCATAATCGAAATGAATAAAGAATGCAAATTACATACATCAAGTAATTTTTATAATTTTTTTTCTTCAAATTTAAATATAATTTTGTTGAACAATGCAAAGAACAAAAACGAAAAATCCTCTCCCTATTATTATTCTCAGGTTCATCTCATCTATGAATAAATTATTAAAAAAAAGAGCACAACTAATCTAAAGCACCTCTATTATAGAGAAAAGATAATGCTATGGAACCATCTGAAACCCTACCACTCTGGAAATTGTTCACAAAAAATTTTGAAATTAGCTGAAAGAAAAAAAAATGCAAATTACAACACTATTTCTTCATAATTTGCAGAAATCACAGGAATTTCAAAAAGTAAAAAGGCAAAAAAAAAAAAAAAAAAAACCTTATCTTGTAAAAAGATCAAAATAAAAAAATGATGCAAACAAATATTTGAGTGCTTCAATTTAAATTTTCCAATTCTAAAAATTGATATTGAGGGAGCACCATCTTCGATAACACTTTTTAACTTTACTGATAAATGCATATTTGATAACACATTCCAGCAAAAAAAAAAAGAAAAAAAAACAACATAAAAAACAGAAATCAGAATACAACAAACAAATTTTCATGACTAAAAGAATCGATCGTACAGTTTCCGACTGAACGCTCGATAATGAGGTCGAACTGAAACATTCCCTATAAAAGGGTGACACAATCACTACTAGCTCTTCTGTCAGTCAAATTCTAACAAAAAAAACAGGAAATATAAATTTTATACCAAATTTATTTTGAGCAGTGCAAAAACATTTTTAACCATCTCTTTTAGCAAAAAAAAAATCATCCTGATAACATAAAATAAATTCAACTTTAATTCAATATCATTTTCAAATGAGAAAAGCCCTACCGGCCCGACCTCAATCGGCAAGTTGAATTTCAGAAGATTATTTTATGAGACTTACCAAAAACAAAATCATTTCATAAATATGAAAAAAAGGAAAAATAAAGAAACGAAAGCAAGAAAGAAGGAAAAAAACTCAACTTTTTTTATTAAATAAAAACTGCACATATAACTGTCAGGACAAAACCATCCGGTAGCAAAATAATATTTGTAGGAAAAAAATAGATGGGAAAAAAGTGAATGCAGAAGATAAAGGAAACAATATGGGATGGAATGCACTAGAAATGATTCTCTCTTACTTCTTCGCTTTTTTCCCAGCTGTTTTCAATTCATATTTCGCTTTTTCTTCCAATAGCGTATGCATTTGTGATTCGATACGTCGTAATTCTTCTTCAAAATTTTCGCTAATCTTTTTGGCTCGTAAATTTAGCTGCAATATGCAACAAAAAATTAAATTAGAAAAATCGAAATAATTTGTAAACTTGCCACAAACAAAGCAACAATAATATCATATTTTAAGTTTGGAAAGCGGGAAATCAACTTTTCACAATAATAATTCACGAAATTTCTGGAGAATAATTTAAAGGAAGAAAAAAGAAACTAACCAATTCTTCCCTTCTTTTCATTTCTTCTTCCTTCTTCTTAACACGTGTAGCGAATTCATCACGAAAAACAGTATCTCTATTTGCCATTTCATCAATGAATTCACGCTGCTTCTAAAAATCATATGATATACTAACCATCACTAAATAAAAAAAGATGCTATCAACGAGAACATTACTTATAAGTCGTCTAAACAGAAGTCCTATTTTTGTGTAATCATATTGTTACCGAAAAATTCTAAACCCTATACCGACTCTCCTTTTTTGCTTCTCCGTTTAACTGCTAAATGTTTAAATGACAATATGAATGCTTCTGTAGACTCAGAAAACAGAAAATGAAAAGTTCCGATACATACCTACTTTATCGTAAAGCAATAGAGATAATTCATAGTTGAATTATACTTTCTAAATGTTAACTAAGCTATTCAGTTAAATGCTGCGTACTCAACTGCTCTACAATTTTGAAAGAACAACGCCGAAAGTAAGTTATTAAATAATACTAGCTACAAAAAAGGCAAACTCATACAATGCAATCATTTTTACTACAAATTTATGAGATAAAAAACCTGTGCGAAAGCTTCCATCATTTTAGGTCCTGTATCACCATCACCAAACTTCATTGCACGTAAACGTTCACGACGATATGCTTCATACAGTACTCTATGTGTCCGCTCACGCAATGCATCCACGTTCGTGCGCAATACTGCCTCACGTAATTTGACAAAATCGCAGTGTTCCTCATTTTCGACTATAATTTGAAATCATATTTCAAATTATTGAAAGTGTTTTACTATGAGTAAATTCAGTTTAGAACTAAAATAGCCAAGAAATTAATTAAGATGTATCCATGTGTTTAATTGATATGGCTGACAATTTTTTGAACGAAAATCATTACAATAATATTTCAAATATTTACTTCCCTCACTGATCAGGTTAATTTCAATAATTGCACTAAATACTTATTTTTCTTCTATCTCACGCAAATTTGCAAAAAATAACACATACCTTCAACCATTCCCCAAGGATAACGACGTGCTCGAACCATCTTACCGTTCTCTTTTTTAACAAAATCAGTACTGCCCACAACAGCATATGGCACAAGCTGATTTAATTCCGTATTTATTGCTCGTACCGTCTCGTCGTCAGTCGGAAACTGATAGATGGGAATATTGTGACTTCGTAACTCACTTAAAATCTATAAAAACCATGGGAAAATAAAGAATCAACGAAAGCCCTAAATTATCAGGAACATAAAAAAGCTTTCAATATTCAGAGTTATGCATTTTTTCTAATGCTGGTAAATACAAAATCCTTCCTTCAAGCATTCATTTTAATTCGATCAGTTTTATCAGCGATGTATAGACGAAATAAAAAAAAAAAAGGAAGTTTAATAAAATCGAAATAAAACCTATAAGTTTTTAGAGGAAAGAAATGCTCATGTTCACAAGTATGATATTATTATGTTCATGACTACTACGTAGTTGCATCTGCATTTAAGTAAACAACAAGTGAAAGTGGAAATGATTGAAGTGAAACAAATAATCATAGCACGAAAGAGAATAAAGAAAATCATTAAAGTTATAATTCTTGATAGTTGTTGGAACATATTTTGGAATATTTTAAATATTATATATACATAAATGGTAACGTACTTTGCTTTTGAATCTTATAAGTTCATCTTTGCAGGTGGTATCAGCTTTTGCAATCACGGGTATCACATTGACCCGTTCTGCAAGCCGTTGCAGTGTTACAACATCGAGTGCTTTGAGTCTGAAAAGAGGATAATGTAATCTTCATTCAAATAAGTAAATTAATTAAACAAATAAGTTAATTGAATGAAAAAATAAACAAATAATAATCAATTAAGTAAAAAATTAATTATATAAACATAAGGAGTCTAAGTGCATTAACCAGGATGAGAACCCCTCTACACCTAAAATACCCTAAGAAATCTTCACAAATTTTATCACAACCTTGAAAAAAGCTTAACGAAATAAGAGATGAGTTTAAATGTTTTAAGATCCATATGTTTTTAAGTCTTCAAATTTTCCAAAACCATAAAATTAATTTGGAAAGGAAAGATGCATAGGATTCTAATTTTCGCATATATTCTTATCAACAACATGATATAATGTTTGGCATTTAAAAGTGATAAGGTTAATTAACATATGGTAGAACAGTATTATGAACAGTTTCGGTAAATTCCATAATCCTAAGAGAAAACTTCCAGAATTGAGATGTATGACCAGCTTTAGAAGTGTAGACAAGAGTTAAAATACAAAGGTATTTAATTCAGCCTAATACTCCACACATTAACTTAATATTCCACATATAATTTATGCAAAGAATCTCCTCATTTCGGGAAAACCTGTTATCTTGTGAAGTGTATTTGTATTTCGAAAGTGATTTTAACTATAATTCAGATTAATTTGTTTAGTTCAAGCAAGCGTATTTTATAGGGTGGGAATGCTTGTCAGAAACGGTTGAAAATATTAAGAAATATGAAAATACTTCCTACTGAGCATTAGAATATCATGAAAATGTCAATATACCCTACCCGAGGAATATCTTACCGTAACAAGACAACAAAATAGATGAGAAAGATGAATATTAAGGATAAGAGATCCTTATCAGATAATTTATTTACATGTATTTTTTCCAATCCTAAAAAAAAAATTTTGATTTTTCCAACTTCAAATGAATACTCGTATATGCCTCAGTACGGCATTATATCCCAAAAAATCAAAATATCGTAAAGATGGAAAAGAGCTAAAAAAGAAATAAGAACAGTAAAGTAACAACAGCAATAAAGATTAAAAAAACTTCTCCCAAGTGCTGTGAAAGAATTCTGGAAAGTACGCAGTTGTGAATAAGCTTAATGAAAATTACTTCATAAACGAATCCCTTATCTCACTGATAAAACAAAAGAAGAGGAATCACAATCAAAACTTCAAAAATACAAACATTTCAACCATTTTAAATTTTCAGGAAGAGATTTTCCTCTTCCACTTCATGGTCATTTGTTATCTTTATGAAAGAACTGATTGATTAACATACGATTAACATATTATTTAATCAAAAAACGTAAATTGGATAACATGAAATGCCAATGCCATACTTGGGCAGACCACCCTCAAAGCAAAATCATAGAATAGAAGAGGGAGAGGACACGATACAAAGAATAATGGAATAATGATGCCATTTCTTCTCCAGCAACGATCGGTAGGTACAAACAACCCTTACAGAAATAATCAAGAACCACAAAGACAAATATTTGTTTTTCTGAAAGCGAAGGAAAAGTACTGGATAGATGATAAAATGTAACTATAATATGTTGACAGTATCAAATCATATACTGTTCCATTCAGTTTAATTCATGGTAGAGTGCATTTATATATGACTGCTTCCCTTAATAAAAATATGCAAATGATTTTAACGATTTCTTGCTATATTAAACGTCAAAAAAAAAAAAACCGAGTTAAACAACGACCTATCGCATTAAGATACAAATATATTACTGAAAATTTTTGACTAATTTACTAAAAGATTTGTAAAAGCTATTATTCATTAGAAAAGACGTAAACGCCTACATTCGGCAATGCGCTTTAAAGGAAGGAACAAATGACTTCCCAGTATCTAATTTCATATACAAAAAAAAAAAGAAAGGAAATGAAGGAAGTCAGCGGAAATGTGAACCTCAATTTGCTTTACATATCATTCAAAATTGTGACACAGGAAGTAAAGAAATAACGTTAGTGTGAGCCTTAATATTTTAATGTGACAAAATTCATCACATTTAAACTATCCAAAGAACCGGTTACCTCATATAAAAAAGCCAAATAAAGAAAAAAAATTTTTGAAATATATGATGAAAGGGCTATTTCTTCATCCCGCCTTTCTTCTTCTGATGAATAGGCAACACGATAGTTCAGTTAGACATTCAAATTAAGAAAGGAATAGGGAAAGGAAAGAAGAATGGTTAAGTTTTCCTAAAAAAAAAAAAAAAAAAAAAGAGTGATACGGTAGATGGAGAATGATGGCCATCTGCATCATTAAGGACAATAAGTCCAGATGGCATCGAAAATGATACGATACAAGTCATCAGAAAAAAAAATTTGAAAAAAAATGTAAAAAAGAAAGAAAATGCTTTAGTCCCGGCGGCGATTCAATGTTTTCCTCATTAAATTCTCATCTTTCTGTTAGATAAACATAATCAAAAAACAAATATGTCCAATACATCATAGTAAATCTCTCGAAAGTCCCAAAAATATATGATCTAAAATCATTCTAGTCAATATAACTGCTCAATTGCTACATTGTTAATATACAGCTATATTTACAATAGACATGCGATATATAAATAAATATATATAGTCTGGCATTTAATAATACATTGTCCAACGAAGCAAATATTTGAAATTGGAATGTCGATCGATCTTGAAAAATATTTTAGACGAAAATATATCTTTATCCTAGTTAAGCATCTTGGCTTTCGAATGATTCGCATCCTTTGCACAGCTCAGCAAATCAGCATTTAATCATTTCTTTTTTTTCTTCTCTTTTTGCACGGTTAAGTATAGACGAAGATGGACACTATTCTACAAAATTTCAACTTAATATACATTACTAAAGTAAGATAAAGAAGATATCGTTCCTTGCTAAAATTAAAATTTGGGTTAAAAAATGCCACAAAGATTACAGTACCATCCACTCATATATATGAGGGTTGAATTCTTTCAGTCCATCTTTTGATGTGATGATTATCAATAGATGTTGAACTAAGAAATGGGTTAGATTTTTCTTTAGTAATAATTTCGATTAGCAACTCACTCTAACAATAACAGCAACATAAGAAAACATTTTAACCTTGAAAAAAGAGGAACGAAAGTTCAATAAAAACAAACGGATGGGAAATTTTGATAACATATAGAAACTGAAGATGCAAAAAAAGAAAGAGGAAGGAAAAACCTATCAAATCTAAGTTTAATTTGTTCGGCAGTCGCATAACTTGGAAAAAAAAAAACGAACAAATAATATCATAGTCAAGCAAACGGACAAAAAAAAATCTTGGGAATGAAAACAAAAAACCTACGAAGTTGTTCATAAAGGTATGCCATTCACATGATCAAAAAAAGAAGATTGATTGTTTTTAATCATCTGGCAGATGCTGGGAAAAAGTGAAAAAGAAACAAAGCTGGGAAAACGTTTTATCACACACAACCACTATATATAACTATGTGCGAGAAATACGTCCAAGCAAAAAAATTTCCTAAAACTATCCCTGTGTTTCTTATCTAGAAAAGTAGATGACTAATTTCGTTTATAAATTAACCCCCATAATGAACAAAGCAGAATAAATATGCAAACCCATGTCCTGTAGGTGATATGAAGTAAAGACAAGCGTGGATACGTGTATCATCGTAATAATCCAAACAGCGTTTGATTTTCAACTCTTCTTTTAAATATTTTTCGAATTGTTCATTAATAAAATCAACGATTACTTGAGCGCTGAAATGAAGCAACAATTGCTTGCATAGAATTTAAATCATACTTTTGATGTAGGATAAACAATCTATTTCTTTCTAAATTTCTATCTCTCTTCAAACTTAAATGTAGATAGAATTATCTATCTACTGTAGTCTATTGTAGTAGTAGATGCCGATTAGACACTACTTTTACTGCCACGAAATAACTCGCTTTTTTTATAAAGCTTGTCAGGCAGTACAATAAGAGAACATCTATACTCCTAAAATCTTGTTTAAGACCTCCTTTATTTCAAACATATCTTCATTTTTCAGACACAGTTTGAGAATTAAAAGTCATGTATTTTAATAACAGGCGCTATTATGCTTCACAAACAACTTCGTACATGTATATAAATCAATTTGCATAAGAGATGTATATGTTAATGCCGACCTTTTATCTTTATCAAGCTGGTCACCAAATCCAGCTGTTTCAACAATGGTCAACTTGAGCCTAATTCCACCTTCCACAACATCTAAATACAAATAATATTGTAAATGGAATATTATGAACGAGATGATGCTGTGAAATAGCAATTACAACGAGCTTACCATAAGTCCTGGAAAGTAGTTCTACAGTCTTAAGTTCATTATTACAAGGATGAAATTCAAGTTTCATATTGAACAGAGATTCGATCAGTGTTGTTTTACCCATGCCTGTTTCACCAACACACATCAGATTGAATTGAAACCTAAAAACTACTTACATAAATTGGTAAGAAAAGAAATGTTCACTGAGTAACTAGAGCAAAAAACTTTAACTGCATTTTACTGCACCAATCCAAGTGATGCATTAAATTTCAAAGGAATCTATTTAGCTTCTATAATGATTTAACACTTAAGGATGAGAATAGAATTCCATAGAGAATTAAATCTAGCTGTTTTTCACAATTACCCTCGTTCAGTGCATTTCCGAACCAACTGATGCGGAAGCGAATCAAATCCAACATGCCCATTCAATTTCAGCGTTCGAAATTCCTCTGTGGTACTTCCAGATACATTAAATTTTTCTGTAAAATCATAAATTATTACAATTTTTGTCTTCTTTGAAATAATTTTGTTGTTCTACGACAATTTTAATATCCTGGTTTTAAGATGTTTACGATGACTCTCCTAAAATCATTTCTCTTTCGATTAATAACGAAACGAAGACAAAGATGAAACCCCATTTGTATGGTAGCAAATCTAAATCTTACATAAGTTCTTTTTTCTTGTGAAAGAAAGACATTCCTCATTTCATTATCAGTAATAGTGTTTTTATAAGAGACCATAATGCTCACGGATCTTAGTAGTGAGTGACGTGTCCTCTATGCTTATACTCTTCTTATGGCTAGGAGAGATACAGCAAAGATATTGCGGGAAACAACCAGATGGGAAACGAGAAATCATGCCTTTTGGGACGAACTTTGCATCCGTTGTTTCATGCTTGCTAGAATCTTGAGTTGAACCTGAAGTTGAAGTTATAGTTGTTAATGTCCTCTTGTGGATGCCATTGGAAAAACTTGATGATATCGGTGAAGATCCACTATCACCATTTAGTAACTTAAGCTGGGAATTTTTCAAATGAGTTGGAATTGGTGGTAGCGGTGGTGCAGGTGGAGCCTGAAATCATTTTATATGTCTATGTCATATAAAAAAATATCAAATGTTTCAGTTAAAAAAAAAAAATGTTACGCTAATTTTGTCTGACATAAATTTACCAACTATAAATGTGAATTTACACTCTAGTTTATTTGCTTTGTTTTGCTAAAAGATAGTACTATGGCAAATTCTTTTTTTTATCTTGAAATTATTTTCAAAAAAACTAACCGCCATTGGCTTCCTCGACTCCATCATATCGTTTGTTTTTGGTAAAACTTTCTGAAATTCGTTCGATTCAACAGGCAAAATGTCGGTGTGCACTTTACTCTCAACAACTTCTGATTCTAATGATATTTGGCTGCTAATATCTTCTTTTCCACGTAAAACTACCGAATTTCCAGGAGATAATCCTGTAAATTTACGATAAATGCATTAATTCAAATTGAAAACGAAAAGAAAACGCAAAAACATTTCGAAAAAATTCATCTAACAAATTAAATTACTAATATGAATCATTTGGAATAGTTCAACAAAATTAAACCAAATAATTGGCGGCATAAGAGAGGTCTTACAGCGAAAAATATCATTTCAAAAGGAAAAAAAAAATCAATTGGTCACCAAATTGATGTCAGTAAACGATAATGAATTCAGCGATGCACAAGATGGTTCATTTTTATTGGTTTTACTAAATGAATTAATTGCAATTAATCAAATATCTTAATTAAATTATTTAAATTGATTATAAAAAAAAAAAAAAAAAATCGGAGAATTTCGGAGTTTCCTTTTCCTTTCTTTCTTTTTTGAAAATTTGTAAATTAGTGTTTGTGATTAATTAATTTCCTTCTTGAAAAATATCAAAACTGTTCTTCTTTTTTCATTTCTTTTCACAAATCATACAATTATATGAATGAAGTAAGAAGTTTAAAATCTATGAATTTACAGAGAACTCTATGCTACACTCTTTAAATGGATTTAAATAGATCTCTTTAAATTTAAATCTCATTAAACTGTTTAAATGGATGAGTGGATCGGAATAAATTTATAATCAACACTTTATTCTGTAATGGTCAAATGATTTTGTTTTGTTTGCATATTTTGTTTGCATCTTTTGAGAAAGCAATAAAATATGAATTATAGGTTAAATTCATAAATTTCATAATAATGATATAATAATAAAATTTCAAAGATTATATTTTGAGCTGAACTGAACTGAACTAATAGATTTTATTGTCTAAAAAATTGATTCAAACCTAACAATCTATGAGTTCAAACCTAACAATCTATGGTAAGCGAATTTCATATTAATTAGAACGAATATGTTAGTTTGATTGGTGGAAATTGTTAGAAAGAGCTAAATGATAATTCAAAAAAAGAAACTTACTGCACTGCATTCTTACATCCTGATAAACATCAATGAATACTCAACTAATACACTTAAGATTTAAATTTAAAAGTATACAACTAGAAGCTTGAATATGACCTTGTGCTGTATACGACGGTTTTGATGAAAGTTGTCTTTGCTGATATCCAGCAATGATACTACGAACCGATGTCCGCTCCAGATTGTTACTACAACTAGTTTCACCGTCAAGTCGATTAATCTGTAACACAATATACACGCGTTATATAACAAATGACAACTAATGTAACTTGTAATATTGTTTAAACATATTTTAAATTCCCTTTTATAATTTCATTTTACACTAACAAACTACCACCGAATATTGTAATTTTGGTTACAAAATGATTTGAAATAAAATTGAAGTATTTCCTAAGTAGTGCTATTTTTTTTTATAAGTTTGGCATTGATAAATGTTTTGGAATTATTTTTCTTCTAATATGAATAGGATCATATGATTTGATTTGAATAAATTTATGTAAAATATCATTGAAATTTTTCAGCACTACAACTCAAAAAAAAAAAAACAAAAACAAAAATGTTTAAAGAGAGACTGAATATTTATATCAATAATTTTAATTAAAAAATATTGAACATAACTGAATATATAAGAGAAAATGATAATATAATCTTCATATAAAGGTTAAAAATCACTGCTTTAGCTATTATTTTTCACATTTTCTTTTTTCACATTTACTATCAATAAAAAAGAAAATGATTGCTCTTTAGAAAGATAAAAGACGATCAATTGAAAGTCGATCAGTTGAAACTAGAAACAGAAAATATCCTAGAAAAGACTATCCAAAATATATTCAGATCTCATGTCAATCTATCTTATCCGAAATCAGAATGAACTTAATCTTATCTACTGATAATTTTTCCATTTGATAATTTCGATAAAGAAAGCTTTCCAATGTTCTAGAACAGAATTAATGAAAGCACTTGGTTCCTTTTCTCTAAACTTCAGAAACTTAGATGAATTACTAACGCCTAATAATAGTTCTCTTAATAACTTATCGATAATAAAAATACCTTTTTTAGAATTCTTCTATCGTGATCACTTATTTCCGATTCTCTTGTAGCAGTAGTCCAGTTTGCTGTTTTTGATTTCTTGTTTAGGACTAACTGAAAATAAAATCAAAAATAACTTTGGTAAATTAAAATTTGGTGCAAGAGGTTGAAAACTTAAAACTTTTATATTATTATAAATGTTACATAAGATGGAATATAACTTAAAATACTATTTGTATATCGATCGATAGGAAAAATAAAATAACTTTGAAAAATATGTAATTTACTTTAAAATGATTGAATATGTAGTAATTAAAATTATGGTATGACAAAATTTAAAATGATCATAAAAATGATTTTCTTTACTACTAATATCCTTGTTTAGTGCTCAATGAAGACACCTACCTTAGTTATAATTTCTCAGTCCCTTTTTTATTTTTCTATAATCACAACAAATGCATAAGTAATTGATTGTGCAATGATTTATACATTAATATTTTTGAAATTCTTTGACTTTAAAAAAAAAAAAAGAAAAAAAAAAGACGATGATATAATGAATTAAAGGAATCGTATAACAGTGTTAGGTAATTTCATTCTTTTTCCTTTATTCAAATTAATGTTAAAAAAAAAAAAAAATTTATCAATTTCTACGCAGCAAAATATATGAATGGGCAATAAGACACTAATAAAATCTTTAAGATTTGTTATGACAATAATAAAAGCATTAAAAAAAAAAAACGAATTATTCGAAAATAAATAGCAAAATTTTTGAAAAAATTAAATTTTTTTTTCTTTCGATCTCAATTCGTCAATCTATTCCATCTAACAATGATAGATGATAAATATAACTGAATGAAGAATTTATAAGTGTTCTGCAGCAGATGAAACATAATCGGATCCGAAATATAATTTCAATTTCAGGAAAAACGATGATTAAATAATTCTAATAAAATTTTGATTTATCTTTAAGAAAAGATAAACTTCTTGAGAAAATATAAAATGTGCTTACTTCTTCTGTATATGTATATCACGTATATATTACGCACGTTATTTGTATCAAATAAAAGTGCAAAACAATGAAAATTTAGAAAGTTCATTCTTTAAACAAATAATTACAGGAAATAGCAGTAACATTAAATAAACATACATAAGCAAATAAGAATATTTAAATAAAATTTTTTTTATATGAACCATTATTATTTATAATAGTACACATAAATGTATATTTATCCAAATCCATTAAATATAATAAATGAAAATACTAACTAAAAAATTAAAATAATATTCAAATAACACATATCCACAGAACTTAGCTTTTTAAAATCAAAAAAAAAGAAACCTGAAATATTGCCCAATTATTATCCAAAAAAAAAAAAAAAAACCGCAAAATACCTGGGAAAATATCAAAAAGATGAGAGAGAGAGAGAGAGAGAGAAAATTAAAATTTCTAACCTTATGTTTTGGTAGTTTTGTGCATAGCAAATTCATACAGTTGCATTCCATAATGAGCCAATAAAAACTTTTTTTTTTAAAAAAAAAAACGGAAACGGAAATAAGAAAAAAGAAGAATGCTTTTTTTTTCTTTTTTGTTTTAAAATAAATTTAAATTTGATGATTTTCTCGTAAATAAAAAAAAGAAGGCAATAGTAGAAGTTACGTGTGAGAGAGGAAATTACGTGTAAGAGAGGAAATTACGTGTAAGAGAGGAAATTACGTGTAAGAGAGGAAATTACGTGAGGTATTTGATGATATGTGCAAGATGAAAAAAAACTCATCCAAATAATGCAAATATCATTGAGAAGAAAAGAAAAAAAACAAAAAAATGATTTATTGATTGATAATATATATGCTCGAACAGAATTATTTGCATATTGTGTCGAACGCTGTTTATTTGTTTGTTTGCTTTTTTGTTTTTTTTTTTTGTAGATTTACTCAAATTTTTGAAATTTGCATAAATTTTTTTCCAATTTTTTCATGTAAATTTTCCATTTTTTAAAATATTAAATTTTTTCATTAATACAACTAATATAGCTAATAGAATTAATAAAATTAAAAAGGTAAAATGTTTATAAAAGATAGTAAATTAATGAACAAAATTATTTTCATTGATATCATTAATAAAACTTATTGAAGCTGTTATGAGGATGATTAATCTCAGAAGTTTTACTTCAAATTAATTGTTATTAAAATTTAAATTACTCTCAGATATTATTGATCCAAAAAATAAATTATACTATATAATTTTTCTTCTGGGTTTTTTAATCTTTATAAAAAAAGAAAAAGTTAATATTTTGTAAGAGTTAGAGAGAAAAAGCTGAAAAATATAATGATTGAACTTAATCGATCAAAAGTTTTTTTTTAAAAAAAAAACAAAAATATCACTCTTTTTTTTATTTGTAACACAAAAAGAATAGCTAATAGAGGAAGAAAACGATCTTTTCGAAAAAATATGATAAGTGATTATGATTAGCTATCAGTGATATCAGTGAGTAAATGATTAGCTACCAGTGATTATGTGAAATTTTATACTGAATTATTATGATAATAAAAAGGGTCATAGTTCAAAGCATAATTGAATTTTTCCCTTTTTTCCTTTTTAGCTTTTACTCAGCACGAAACATCTCGTCTTCTCTATAAATACTTATTTGAAGATCTTATCTTATCAGTATTGTTTTATCATATATCTCTTATCACTCCTCAAAACAAATGTATTTTTTTCTTTAAATTATTCTATATATTTCTTTAAAACTATTCTATATTTCCTCTTTTTTACCTTAATTTCTTATGCATTAACATTAATTTTCAATCTCTCATTAACTTTCATCAAATCTAATTAATAAATGCGAAAAAAAAAAAGAAAGTTATCTGTAATTTCAAGAATTGAAAGCTATCAAAGTTAGCTTATGATAATAAATACTATGGAACATTCTTATTTAATATAAATTTTTTGGAGTAATTTTAAACAGAAATAAAAAAAAAAAGTTGCAAATAATATACGAATGAAAAAAAAAAAAGAAAACCTACACATTTCATTATTTGAATGAATAATAGATAGCTAATCGAATAATTAAGATTTAGCTTTGTGTTAATATAATTAAGAATTTGGTTTAATAGTTTGCACTAAATGGAAGATATTTTTGTATAGGACATATGCGCACATGCTGAATCATTTCCATTTCCTCTCCGCTCGTCATTTTACATTTCCGTTCTATTGAGCTAACACAATAAGCTTTGATGGATGATGATGATGATGGTGATAATAACAATGATAATGATAATGATAATGGTAGTGATGATGATAATAGTGACCAAGATGATGATGATGATGATGAGGACAATGATAATGGATGATGATTTACTGTTATGCTTTTAAAACTGACTTACTGTTTATATAAAATTCCACATCGTGAAAGTAAGAGCAAAAAATGAAAATAAATAAATAAAAAAAAAAAAAAATGAAGAGATACCCAGTCTATTTAAAGCTATTTTGCTTTTTGCTTTTTTTTTTTCAAATGCTAAATGCAAAAAAAACAAAATTAACATAAATGATGCAGTTTGATCCTTCTGAACAAAAAATACCTTTGAAAGATGAAAATAATACTACCAAGCTATAAGCATTTATTTTTTTTTTCCTTTTTTAAAATTATTCCAACAATGAAAAGTCGTAAAGTTGAAAGAAAGAATTCATCCGTAAATGATAACATTAGAAGAGATTGCATATTGTATTGCTTCTTCTGTTTGAATACCATTTACCTTCGATAATATTTCATGCAAATGTATCGCTTTGTTATAAAGTGAATATTTTAGATAAAATAGAATTAACAAAATTTCGATGATCAAAATTGTATGTTTGTAATTTTTCTTTTTTAATTGTTTCTCCTCAAAGTTATACTTAAAATCTAATGGTATTAGTTCTAATTTAATTATGCAATGTTTAAATTTCCAGTAAAATTGATTTAATAAAAAGCATAATGTAATAATTTTAAATTTAATCTTTTTTTTTTTTGAAAAAAAATTTTTTAATTATTACATTATGCTTGCTATTATTAGAATAAAAAAGAGATAGATGAAACATAAAATGCTAAAATAATTTGAAGAACTTAAATGTGAAATCTATGAAATATGAAGAAATGAACAAACCTCAGTGATTAAATTTTTGATCATAATTTGATCATTAGTTTGCCAATTTTTGTAAAAGAGAAAATTTGATATGGTTCATAATTTGATAAAATTTTTTTTGTTCCATCACAAAAATATGCAAATATTTTATTTGGATTAATAATTGGTAAACCACCCATCCATTGTATAATTTCTTCCTCTGTTAAATCAATTTTTGCTATTTCTTGAGAAACTTTTTGTGACAATGTTTTATCAGTAAAATTATCACAATTATCAATTTTTCCATCATTCTTCCATATCATACAATCTTTGCTATTATCAGTAAAATCAGATGAAACAATGTTATCATGCTTCTCATCAATTCGTAAATTTGCATCATTAATTTCGGTGGTACTAATTAAATCAGATAGAAGAATAAATGAGTCATCAATTGATGCAAGAATCATTTCAAGTCCTCCCGGTCGACGATTGGTATTTTTTAGTGCTTTCACACTGTTTCGTTTGAAACTTTCCTTCTTTTGTGCAGATGAAAACCGGATGCTACGTGATTCAAAATTTAGCTTTTCTCTATGCATATCCGGAAAATACAATCAATCAATCAATCCAGTTCTTGCTTCCGTAAAATGTTGTTTCTGGACCGATTATAGAATAGTTGTAGGATGAGAAATTTAATTGATTAATATTCGTAGAATTTGTTGCTCGTTTAAATGCTGGTTGAAATTGGAGAAATCCAAGGAAAAAAAAAGAGAAAAAAAGTGAAAAGTAGAATCCAGAAAAGAATTTTTCAATAGTAATATATTTTAAATATGAAATTTCATTTTTTTAAAAAAAAAGAAAGTATTTTTTTTTTAAAAAAATTTTGATCAGAATTTAACAATGATTCAATGAATGTTTTTGATTACAAAATTTCATAATCAATAGATTTTTACAAATAAAAAGAAAAATAATAATATATAAAAAGAAAAAAAAGAAAGCTTACAGACAATGAAAAAATAAAAATATATTTTCATAAGATGATGAAATTTCAAAAAAGGTTCAAAAAAAAGTTTAAACATCTGTCAACAATTTTCAAATCATTCTTTAAATTTTTTTTTTTTTTTTAAAAGCAACTTTTCAAATGTTTTTATTACACAGTTTTATAACTAATGGATTTTTGCGATTAAATAAAATATAAAACTTTAAAATGTGACAGATCTGTTTTTGGATTAATTTTGAAGTAAAAGTTTTTTTTTTTTTTGCAAAAAGCATTTTTATAAAGAACAATTAAATTAACAATGTAGAGCTAAAATAATCCAAAAAATTAAAAATTCGAAAAAAAACGGAATTAAATTAATGATTTAATAAACAAACAAATAAATAAATCTGTGTGTAATTTAACAAAAAATTCAACAAATATTTTAAAAGAGTAAAAAAATGATAATATTTAGGATTCTTTTTTTTTTTTTATTTTCAATTTTGATAATGAAAAATGAATTTAACTATTAATGCAAAATTGAGAGGAAATTTTGTAAAAAAAAAAAAGAGAGAGAGAGAGAGAGATTTGCACAAAGTTTATTAAAGAACAATTTTTAATGAATGGCTATTTCTTATGGAAGAATATGGATAAAAACATATATTTATCGAGAGAGAGAGAGAGAGAGAGGGAGAGAGAGGGACATAATCTCTTGAATTTAAATTTGAAAATTCTATAAAATGCAAATTTCCCTTTTAATGAAGAGGGACAATCCCTCTTTCTGCTGCTTATTGTCATCAAATTATTCGTTTGCCCAAAATGAATTAATTAGCAACAAATTTATATTCTTTGCATTTATTTTAAAATATAAAATAATTTAGAAATTTGTAAGGAAAAATGAAATGCTTATGTGATTTTAAATTGATTACTTTAGTAAATTTAAATTAGTTACTTTAGTAAATTTAAATTGGTTACTTTAGTAAATTTGATTAGTTTCAAGCAAATAATCGCCAAAGAAATTTGAAATTACTAATGTATTTTCATTTTGTAACAAAATAAATTTAGAAAATTTCTATAGAAATCAAAAAATAAATTTAATGGATTGAAAAATTCGTAATTATTTTTTAATAAATGGATTAAATAAAAGTACTGATGAAGTACTTTATAGTTCACAAATATAAACCATAAATTAAGAAAAAAAAAAAAAAGGTGACAACATATAAAAAATATTGTCAATGACAAGTTAAAAAAAAAAAGTTACAAGGTAGATCACAAGGTTAAATAAAAAAATTAAAATGTAAGAAAAATTTAAATTAAAATAAAAGTTGAATTTAATCTTAAATTTCAAATTTTATATATTTATTTTAAACGATAGAGAAAACTTTATTTAATCAACAATTCAATCCTTTCGTACGATTGATAAGAATGCAAT